AATCTTGGAAGCAAATTGGTTTTAAGATATGATTAAGTTCCAAAACTACCTCAATAGACAGATAATGAGAGATGAGCTTAAAGAAATGGAATTATATAGCAATTAATGTAAAGTTCTATATTTAGGTTCAAAAATTTAACTGTACAAATAAGAGAATTGGGGGGGGGAAGTAGCTCAAAAGCATTGTATTTTGAAAAGACTCAAAATTTTAATTAGGTACATTTTCAATATGAGTCAATAGTGGGAAGTAATCTTCCAAAAAAGATATTAAACCTTAAGCATTATTGGATATATGGTACTCTAAAGAGGGAAGTACTGTATTCTGTGTTATCGAGACCATTCACTTAATATTGTTCTGGGTGCCACATTTTAGAGGGTGGAGGTACTATAAGACTGGAGTAAATGTGGAAGAAGGCAACCAGTATGAGATAGAGAATAAAGAATTTGAAAGATTGCCATAAAAAGTATTAGGAATTGATTTATCCCATAGAGGAAACTTGAATTACAATGGGTAGCAGTTACAGGGAGGCAGATTTTTGGCTCGGTATGAGGAAGATCTAACAATTAGAGTAATCCAAAAATCAATGAGTTGCCTCACAAAATAGTGAATTCCCTATCACTGAAAATACTGAAATAGTGGTTGGAAAATACTTTGGGGCATGTCATAAAAGACATGTATGTGCTTAGTAGGACATAAGATTTCACATGAACCTTTCAATGATTATATTAGGTAATAACAGAAAGGCTGTGTGGCAAAATGCAAAGGCAATCTGTACTGTATTACTTTGTATATATTTTGTACTTATCTTACATGGACTTGAAGTCAGAAGACTTGGGCTGGAGTCCCAGCACTAACAACAATCATGTGACCTTAGACAAGTCACTTAACTTCTCTGAGATCAATTTCCTAATCTGTAAAACAGGGAAAATAATAATTTACACTATCTACCTCTCAGGGATGTTGGGGGGAAAGTACTTTGTAAACTGTAAAATGTCATATAAATGTGATGTCAATGTTACTTTCACTATTTAAGTAGTGAATCTCTTAGCTCATGAGAGTAACAATTTTTTTTACCTTAATCAAACTACCTTTATTTCTATTTGCTTCACTCCTCCCTCCTCCATGCTGATGCCCTCCTGTTAATTTTTGAGATTTCAAAGTCTCAGATATAAAATATTGGTGGGACTATATGACTTACAATTAATAATAAAATGTTTGGATTAGCAAAAGGTATTCCTTCTTACCTCCCAAGTAAAAGAATTTTGTTTTCCTCTGAGCTTCTATGGTTTGACTAATGCATTAAAAATATTGCTTAATCAGAATAAAATCCTCTTTGACATTGCTTCAAGTGACTTGCTACATTCAAGTCACTATCTTCCTTCTTGCAAATCTTTTTTCCAAACCCAGTTACTGGTAATACAATGATTTTCATGATATAAACACTAATGCCAATTATAATTAGTACATGTCTAAGATTATGGGCCCTTAGTGCAATCATCAGGTCACAAAAGAAATAAGACCATCATGCCTTAAAAAAGAAAAGTGATTTGTCCTCCCTTGTATAAAAGTTCTGGTAAGGTCTGATGTAAATCTTTCAATGTACATGGAAATAAATCAGATTCATGGAATAACCTATAAAAGATAAAATATTTGTTGTTGACAAGCTCTTTTCATCGAAGAGAAAAATTCAATGAAAATGTTTTGTTTCATTGACTAACCTATTACTCACTAAATATTATTAACCATTCAGAGCACAGGGTGCTTTAGAGATATAAAAGAAGCAAAAAACGAGTGTCCAGCCTCAAGTAATTTACAGTCTAGTTTGGGAAATGAAAACAGGTACAACTAGAGTATAATTACAAAGGAATATATGAAGATATGCCACATATGTGAAAAACTTATTCTAAGTTCTTATGTGACAGAAAAGGAACAATCAGATAAGCATAGGGGCAGGAATGGAAAGCTTCTTGGAAGTGAGTTGTGATTCAAACCTTATACAGAACAGAACTATAGAATCATAGATTTATTAGAGTTAGTTGGAAGGGACCTTAAAGTTAATCTAATCAAATCTCCTCATTCTACAGATAAGAAAGCTCAGTTCCAGAGAGGTGACAAGTGAATTGCTCGTGACCAAATAAAGAGTAAGAAATAGAAATACGATTTGTACTCCAGAGGTAGCATTCTTTCTACTTCAGCAGTAATACTTAAAGTATTTCATCCTAGTTAAAAGAGTAAACATACAAACACCAGAATATTAAGGAAAAATATAAACTTCCTTTTAATTTATATATATGTGTGTGTGTATATATGCATGCATACACACATACACACATTCTTATATACTTGTGGAATTTAGCTTTATCATATAATGGACTTTAATGAGAGGTGGTAGTTATTATGCTAATTTTTGTGTGGCTTTAAATTCCTTTTATTCTTATTGGATTCATACTTTACTATATTTCATTTTAAATATTATCAACTGGAGAAATATGTAGTTTGCCCAAAGGATGAAACAATCATTTTTTTATCCTTTGGAATCTCATCTAAATAAATCCAAGTTTGAAATAAAGAAGTCCATTTTCAATTACAAATTACAAATTCATGAATTTAGATATTTAGAACTATTGGCAAATGCAAATGAAATAATCTACATTTGTTTCAGGAGTGATATCACATATTACAGAAATAACTGGCAAGTTAAAGTGATTATACTTTTCCTCCGATTTATAAAAGGAAACACTAAAAATCAATAATTTAATATATCAAAATATAGCTGATAACCACTTTAAATTTGAAAGTAGGGAAAGGAAAGTTTCAGTCAATGGTTCAGCAACAATAAAGTTAGGGACATCACTGGGAGTGAAGACACTTGAGAATCATGGATCTGAACACCATTTTTGTTACCATATCCTTGCTACTTGTGCCATTAGAAATAAAAAAATCAAGATGGCTGAGTTCTGTGAAGCAGCCAGTAAATCAGTTTCCTCCATTCCCCTTATAAATCAATCAAAAAATGGTTGTAATTTTATACATTACTTTTTTGGGGATTAGTTTTGGGGACTGACTGATATGTTGGTCTGAGATACTACGCATGGTTTGGAATAACAGCTCCAAAAGAAAAATAAAATTAAAGGACATGTATTTCTTGAATTTTCTTAATGATTACACAAGAGAGCCAGGAATGGTAGTACACGCCTGTAATCCCTGCTACTGGGAAGGCGGAGGGGGAGGATCTCTTGCGCTCAGGAGTTCTGAGTAACACTGGACTAAGCTCATTGAGTGTCCATACTAAGTTTGGCCTTAATAGGGTGGGTCTCCAGAAATAGGGTGTCTACCAGGTTGCCTAAGGATGGTGAACTAGCCCAGGTCAGAGCTGGAGAAGATCAAAGTTGCTGTGCCACTCAGAGTGGGATTGGGCTGATGAACAGCCCCTAAACTGGTAGCCTGGAGAGATATGGAAATGAAGCTTTAAAATAAACAAATAATTTTGATAGGATGTAAGCTCCTTAAGAACAAGGTCTATTTCATTATTTCGTTCAGGGTTGAGACACAACAGATTCACAGATAAGTAAAAAAAAATAGGATATATATCAAATAAAAAAAGGGAGATATCACATCTTGAATATAAAACCTCATATAGGCCAGTTTGGCTAGAAAGTAGAGTGCTAAAAGGCGAGTCTCATGTAATCAACTAGGCAGTTGCCGGATTGCAGAGGGCTTTAAAGTCCAAAAAGAGGTGTTTGTATTGTATCCTAAGGCAATAGAGAGCTATAGAAGCTTCCAGTGGAAGAGAATGATACGTTCAGGCCTGTAGTTTAGGAGAATCAACTTTGCAGATAAGTGGAAGAGACAATGAACAGAGTAGGGAAAAGAAGTTGGAAAAAACTATTAGGAGACGATTGTAATAATCAATGTTAGAGGTGATGAAGGAGTGAACAATGGTGGTGATAGTATTACTAGAAAAAAGATGATGGATTTGAGAGATGTTGAGAACAAGAGTTGGCAATCAACTGGATATGACAAGTGCTCTCGATATAACAGTTGAGGATAATTCCTATGTTGTAAACCTGGATGACTGGAAGGATGGTGGTGTCCTCCACAGAAATATGGAAGGTAGGGAGCAAGATCAGTTAAAGGAAAAAGATAACAACTTTTGTTTTAATATGTTGTTAAAGAAGCCTTAAGGATATCTAAGTGGAGATGTCTGGCATTTAAGATGTAGAACTAAAGTATTTATTGAAGTAAATGCTTATGTAAATCAATTCAAAGTCAGTAATTTTTCACTATTATACTCAAAGTTCAAAGAATTATATAAATAAGTACATATATAAAATGATATAATTAAATAAAAGTGATTAAGGCTCCGCACAAATGCATGGGAAACCAGAATACGCTATAACCAATAAATTAATGCAAAGACATTTGAAAGAATTTAAGGGTAACATTGCATTTGCATCCATAAAAAGAAAATTTCCCCTAAATATATTACCTCATTTGAATAGTTCCTAAATAATTTTAATAACAAATTTTTTTTAAAGTAGTCATGGCTTTATCCTACAAAATCTGCTTCAATTTTTCTCCTTGCCCAAAAGATCATATAGCCATAAAATCTTCCATCTGTATATAATGGGAAGCAGGATGCATGTGTGCGTGAGTGTTACAAGTTCCATATAGTGAACCAAAACTGAAAAAAGGTTTCTCAACATAATTCTAATTCCATAAATAGTTATTATTGGCAATTGGGAAATTTTGGTCTTTATAGTTTTTTGTCTCTTATCAATATAAAATTGACTCATCATATTCATTTGTGAGCTGTAGCAACAAGAAGATTTTGGTGATGACTATTACATTTCAGAAACATGTTTAAAGCTAACACCTAGACTCTTAAGAAAACTCATCATGCTTATATGCCATTTTATGCCAAGAATTCAATAAAATATTCCCAAACAGGATCCTGAATAGATGACCCTGCAAAACAAAGTTAAAGAAAAGTATTCACCACACGTGTTGATTGTGGAGCTGAGTGAAGCAGCTCCAGCGGAAAGGCCACCTTTGGAGACTGCTGAAGCTACAGAAGGTGGAGAAGATGTAGAAGATGAAGTAGGTGCAGTCGAAGAGGCCGTCGTGGATGTTAACCGCTCTCCAGACTCCATATCTAAAAGAAAAAGAGAAAAACTATGAATTTTCAAGACAAAGCACTAACCTACTTATTAATTTGATTTAAGGAAATCTTGTGAAGCAGAAATACTTTAAGGAATACAATCTTATTAAGAAATATTAAGCTTTTTAGGTACACTGATGTAAAGACAGATCATTAAGAAATGTTTCTACAGGAACAACAAAATAGTAAATTTAGAGTGGAAAAATGGTAACAATGAAAAATTTGCACAATTATGCCAAATCTTCACACACTTACATATTCATGATATATTTGTGTCCATTAAACATGCCATATATTCAACTGACAGGAAGGTGGTTTGCAAATATAAATTAAATAAATTATACACACATATAAAGGCACATCCATAAAAGTAGGGTATTATCGTTGTATTATTTTTTTAAAATCAATATCTTAATATGTCTAAACTTTTCCATTTACCACTCGTTGCCCCTTCCTAATAATGACAGCAGTATGAATCAAGGAAATACCAACTACTATTAAATAAATTCTCAACTCTATAACTATAGATATTAATTTGATTATAGGATCAAACTGAACTGACCTAGTACTTTGTTCCTAAACATGTGCCGTTGCCACCCTGCCTCCCATTCAGAGGACCCTCACCTTGAGTACGCTGGGCCCATCTAGGAGCCATAGTTAAGAGGTGATTGAAATAAAGAGAGTGTAAGGAGTCACCTCAAGAAAAGGTTATTTTATAAACGAGAACAAAATCTTCAAGAATAATGATATTGTATACAGGTGTCCCATGGGAAGTTGTAGGAGCCAAATTTATAAAATATATTGTAATGCTTATTAAGAGAGGAAACAAAAAGGGCAATCTAGAAGCTCCTTTGGCACTCAGTGCCTCCTTGGCTTTTCCTTACCATCACCAGCTCTTTTTCCTTCCCTTCCTTCTGTTATAGGCTTGACCCATTTATTTCTTATATCTCTGTTCATGTGATTTATGTCCTTAAAATCTTAATGATATGATATTAGTGTTGTAAACTATTTGGCATTTCAACTTAAATGTTTTATTCTACACATGTATGACACATCCAAATGGAAACATGTACAATGGACACTGATTAAGCCAAAAGACAAGCTGAGTGAGCTGAAGGAAAGACACCATGGGGATCAGTTGGGAAGACTGATCCTGAGCAGTCCAAGGTGAGGGTGGGGGTGGTGGTGGTGGTGGTGATGGTGGTAGTGGTGGTGGAGGTATATCCACATGAAAACAGGAGACCAAGAGGATGCCAAGAGAGTAACCATATCCAATATCCTGCCAGAGTAAACTGCGGACAGAAATGCTCTACACCTAAATGCACAGAGGGAATGACCTTGCTGGAGTAGGAATTAGTACAGATACTTCAGTCAGGTAGTCCAATATCTGACAGTCAGAGAAATAGACTCCAACCCTCTGGCCCCAAAGGACAAACAAATTCCAGGGCACTAAGTGCTGAGGGAAGATAGAAAGTTTAGATTAAGACATGATCCCTAACCTCACGAGTCTTGACAGTCTATTTAGGGAACTTATTTAGTCCAGTAGTTGACTTCATTCCTTAGAAACTTAATGTTGAACTTCTTCAATAAGCTGTATACCAACCTTGCAATATAAGGAGTATTTTAAAAATGAAAGTTTAGAATCTAATGCAATGGTCATTCTAGTACTCAGTAACATAGTTGTGGCCATTTCAACCTCCATTCAGAAGCAACAGTCACACTAAGAAATAATTAATGAATTTCAACTCTAAATCTTGAGTGCATGCATCCACAATGCCTTTTACACAGACAGTAACATAAATGATCACAAGTTAATGCTTGGCACACTTGCTGAGACCATTACTGTTGAGCCTTCCAATCTTGTGAAGTCTAGTTAGTTTTCTCTATATTTTGGCACTACTGTCAATTCAAGTGATGAATTTTTCAGGACAATCAACAGATAATGGTATTGCTGTGATGAGTCTGTCCATATCCTTGTAGAATTTTTCATTCTCCTCATCAGCATTCACCATGGTGAGGGCATATGTGCTAATGATGGCTGCATAGCACTTCTGTTTTAAGGGCAGACTTTGGGTCACCAGACAGTCACTAATGAGCTTTGAGACATGTGGCTGTCTGTTTACAAAGCCTATAGCTGACACCTTTCACTACAAAGTGTTCTCATCAATAAGTCCAGTTTCACCAAATGCAAAAATATTGATTCGAACCTGAATCATTTGTGGGATGCCCTATCCATTCTTTCTGGGTGGTTAGTGTTCTTGTTTCATAACATCCTAATCCTGATGACAGTTAGCTATTTTTGTTATAAAAGTTCACTTTCCATTTACTTTTGGACTACAGGGATAAAAATAATCTTGTGAGCCTTTTTCAACATGTGATATACAAGATTAGAGTATTTTTCACTAGTCCTTTCTCCTATAGAAAAGTGAAAAATGGCTAAAATTTTAAAAGAACAACAAATTTCCTATACTGTGTCCTTGTGTCGGATTTTGCTTTGGAATATCCCAGTGCTAATATAAAGTAGAACAAGTGACAAATCACAGAAACTAAATTCTTCTGCATTGTTAGAGTGTGGAGTCAGGCCTTCAATAATAATTAGATAGTTCAAGTTCCTTAGAGCCTATAATACTTACAGCTGAGCCAAATAAGTTCTTGCCATTTAAATAAATGTCATTATGAAAAGAGCTATTTCTGTATAAAGTTCATGTAATTACTTATGCCTTTTGTTACAAAATGGTTCGATGCCTCATTACAGTGTGGAGTTGGCCCTTAGCTTTAGAAGTAAATGCAAGCTCTGGTAAAATTTACCAAGTAGAAATGACTTTAAGTATGGGCCAATGAAATACTATGCAGTGGTTGTCTAAGGACTAGCCTAGCTAAATATGGAAACAGCAATCACCAGGTGGGTCACAAGGAGACAATGTTTTGGTGTCACCAGAGAAAGTACTTTCTTTCTGAGAGCATGGATGTCCTCCCTGAAGTCAACCTCAAAACTAGGAATAAACTCTAACTTTGAAAAAACTGATTTATATTTTGGGAAAGCATCATATCTTCAGGAGGTAATTAATAAGTTTCAAAATTTTACTACTCATTGTATAGTGAGTAGTATGTATGTATTTGTCCTGAGTTTGCCTGTAAGCTTCAAGGACTTTTCCTCGTTCAGATATTCTGGTTGATGATCTGTGTTCCCATAATTTACACAATTACTATGTAGATTATGTATCATATCATGCCCTTTTGCAGATTTTGTCACCTCCTAATAAAACCTTTCTTGAGCCCTTATTAGTCAGTGTTCTGTCCTGACACAAATTATGTATGTAAATATTGCATATACACCTCTCCTCCAATATAATGTAATTTCCATGAGGGTGGGGACCATTTCTTATTTTGTCTTTGTATTCCCTGCCCTAGCACAATAGGTGCTTAATGCTTGTTAAATTGAATTTGTCTTTCCAAGCAGAAAAGCATAATATTTTTTTTAGTCTGTTGTCATGTATCAGCCCACTCCCTAACTATCTAATCAATGTAATGTCATTTTCTAAAATTTCTCCATGATGTGCTCTATTTTCTTTTTTTAAGACCTTAAGATCATTATAGATTTTGTTGTATTTGTATTTATATTGATTTATAATAAGCAGAATTAAATATCAATACATCTTATGAACTTGCTTTGTAACTATTTACATTTAAATAAATGAAATTCAACCCATAAGATGTCATTCTTATTTATGTTTCTTTTGCTATGGTGACTCAGTTCTTCTGGCTTTGCTTTGTTTTTTCCCTTCCAAAATTCCCTTGAGTTCTTTCATTATTTGTTTACACTTATCAATCTTCCTTGCATCATATTATTCTGTTTTATTAATATACTGAAGTTTATTTTACCATTCATTATTGTGAGACACTTAAGCTTCTAGTTTTTTGCAATTACAAATTGAGCTCTAGCGAAAATGTCAATTTTCGCAATTATGTCAATCCTTAAAACAGTCTTAAAATAAAGTAATGATAATTAACAAAATATCTATATTACAGAAGCAATAGGATATCCACCATAGTTTTTTCTTGGGTTTCCAAGGTCCTTCCTAATGATACTGACTCACATAGTTATAGTATACAAATTAATCAATATACTCAAGAGACAATAAATTCTAATAATAATTCCATATGTTTTTAAAAATCTGAACTGATGATTTGGAACCTATTATCCTGTGTTACATTTTATGCTTACCTTTCATGTATTCTTACTTCTCTCTATTCTATTTTTTTACTTTTGATGTGGACACTTGAGATCACTATGTATGTACATATCTGCTAATGAAAATAACAGTATTTAATAAAATACATAAGTTAACTGCTGACTTTACTTTTAAGCTTAAAATTTAAATATACTTTGATCAATTTATTACTTAAATCACAACAAATGGCTAGCACTAAAAAAATTCTGTGACAAATATTTCATTCAACAATGAAATGAAAAATTATATAAAGTCCATACACAAAAAAAGTTTTGGAAAACATAATGCATATTATATGAAGTTTAAATAACACAAAAATGAACTTTCATTAATTTCTTAAACATGTTATGTATATGAGAGCTTTACATGGGCTGTTAAGACAGATTCCTGTGATGATGAGGGAGACAAGGGTCCTAGCTTTAATCCTATACTTGCCTTCTAATTTGGCTATGTGCTAGGTCTTAGACAAGTCACTTCTCTTCACTACACCTCAATTTTCTCATTTGCAAATAAAAAAAAGGATTTGGACTGGAAAAAAGTTGCACCATATCTTCTGTTAATCCCATGATTCCATATTGACAGGTTCATACACACACATCTCTGTTGAGCTATTTGGCATTGGAAATGCCTGTATTTCATAACATGTAACTTGAACTCAACAAATCAGTTTTAGTAGACAATTGTTCTAATTTCCTGGGCTTATATTAATTATTTGAATCAATTTTCAAAATTCTACATTTCATATGAAAGGGAAGCTTTCTG